AAACCTTGTCTTCACCGCCAGGAACCTTGTCCTTACCGCCAGGAACTTTGTGCTCACCGCCAGGAACATTGTCCTCACCGCCAGGAACCTTGTCCTCACCGCCAGGAACCTTGTCCTCACCGCTAGAAACCTTGTTCTCACCGCCACGAACCTTGTCCTCACCGCCAGGAACCTTGTCCTTACCACCAGGAACCTTGTGCTCACCGCCAGGAACCTTGTCCTCACCGCCAGGAACCTTGTCCTCACCGTCAGAAACATTGTCCTCACCGCCAAGAACCTCGTCCTCCTCGCCAGGAACCTTGTCCTCACCGCCAGGAACCTTCTTTAACTTCAATCCATAGGAAATCAAATCCAGAATTCCATGTGTTAATTTTTCACAAGTCTGGTAAAAATTCTTAATAGTTTCATGGAAGTCTGAGCAGCCACCAGTAGGCCAAGGTAAGTCATTGTTATAAGGTTCCACCATATCGTAAGCTTCTTTAAGATCATAGGGCTCATTGGGATCAAGACTAGTAATAATCAAAAATTCAAAATACACAGTCAGTAAGCAGTGTTTGATTATTTACACGAGACAGTTTAACGCTTGTAGTAAGGTGCACTAGGGCGCAGTGCAATTAACTTACTGTGTTAACTGGGCGATGGGAACATAGTCTGATTTAATACCCGTTGAGCACCAGTGAAATTTTCTGGGTTAGACAGAGTAAAATGATAAAGTACGACGCATTGGGGCGCAACGCAACTTAATGGTTAACAAGCACAACATTTAAGTATCCAAATGTCATGTATCATTTAATGTAACATGTAACAGCGCTATACAATTAGAACTTTTTGAAAATATTGCGTTTAGAGTGTGCGAAACTAAGTCGCGTGAAATTAACATGTACTGCATGAGTGAAATTAGTATACCATGCGAATATATACAAGTAAGGTACGTAAATGTAAGAACAATATTCATTTTTTTATCTCAGTGTGGAATATAAGAATTTCGCTTGTGTCTAACAAATATCCGCTCAAGTGTGCAGTTGCTTGGAGATTGACTAAATTAATAATGGTCGGCCAGCTTTTCAATATTTACACTGATTTGTTTGCTGAACACTTCCTGCATGACCAATCATAACCAATCATACTTTTGGTAAGCAGTCCTAATTATACATGCAACTGAAAATTTCTTGGTCCCTGTTGTCTTAATTTTTTTGCATGTCTGGTATATAAACTTGGTACCATGCAACACTTGGAACCACAAATTTTTTGTGTTCTTTGTACATGTACAGCAGGTCTCTGCTTGTTTGTCCACTCTATTTAGAAAACTATACACTCACATTTCCCTTCCTGCAGACATCCATCCATGGAAATTGGTTGGACTGAATTCTGTTGCAAATTGCTCTTTCTCGTCGGATGGCAACTTGAAAAATCTGTCAGCAACTTCAAATAATCTTGAAATCTGAAGGATAAATTGAGAACAAAGTTTATTTCACACATAAATCCATAAAGGATTATTTTTCAATAATTTTGTGTTTTTAATTTAAATCAAGGATCACACAAGAGGTTTTTGATAATACTTTTATTTTAGCTACGTTTCGGATAGTTTACTATCCGTCCTCAGGCTAACAAATTGTTCTTACATTTGACGTGTACAACTTTTAAACGTTCATCTTACGCAAGCTAATTTAAATTAAATTGCGTGCGCGCACGCGCGCGTTCGTTTTCCTTAATAAAGTATTTGTTTAAGGAAGGAGGCAAATTTCCTAGAGGGGTTAATATTCCTCCAAAATCTCTCTTCGACTATTATAATGCCCCAGATGGGTCAAATTCCTGGCAAATTTCCTATGACACCAATATTGTGCAAACATTTAGTGGAGGGACATATGTAAAGATGCAGGACCGCATTCTCCTGACAGAGTAAAATGATAAAGTACTGTAGATTCTCCTGCCAGCCTGCATAACACCCACTTCTGAAACCAATAGCGCTGCAGTCTTATTACAGTAATGAAGTAACCCCCTAAAACATGGGCTGCCTGACAAAATGTTCAGACATAGCTATGTATGATGTTGTCCGACGACCATCAGTTCAGTTTAGCTCAGAAATAAGTCTGAATGACACAAATATCGGCATAATGTATTAAATCTGAACGTGAAGATGTTGTGAATATTGAATATATGAAATAATTTGTGTCATTCACACTTGAATAAGCTCAAAAATGATAAAAGCAATAAACGCAGAAATATTTAAACCTTTAACTTATATCTATAATTTAACTTTTCTGACTGGAAAGATTCCAAAATCCCTTAAGATTGCTTTAGTTACTCCTATTTTTAAAGCGAATGAGAGCAACCTTTTTGAGAACTATAGACCAATATCGGTTTTGTCTTGTTTCTCAAAATTACTTGAGAAGCTCATGTACAAAAGACTATATAATTATGTTGAAACATCAATATGGATTTCGCAGAAATAGATCTACCGAACATGCCGCCATTCTAGAACTAACCGATAAAATTTCTAAAGCAATGGATGAAGGTAAAAAATACACAGTGGGTATTTTCCTTGACCTTTCTAAAGCTTTCGATACAGTCAACTTTGAAATTCTTCTTAAAAAGCATCAACATTATGGAATAAGAGGAATTTGTCTTCAGTGGTTTAAAGATTATTTGCAGGAAAGAACTCAAATTGTAAAATATAAACAACATAGATCAACTGAAATGAATGTTACTACAGGAGTTCCACAGGGCTCAATTCTTGGTCCATTGCTATTTCTTTTATACATCAACGACATCGAAAGCTGTATTGATATACTTTCGTTCGTATTATATGCAGATGATACGAATGCTTTTCATTCAAATCCGTGCTTGAAAACTTTGTATAATACAATACAAAATGAAATGAATAAGGTTGTGAAATGGCTCAATGCCAATAAATTATCAATCAACGCTTCTAAGACAAAATTTGTAATTTTTAAATAAAAAAATAAGTCTTTACTGAACACAGATAATACAATCAAAATAAATAATGCTTTGGTTAAGCAAGTGACGTTTGTAAAGTTTCTAGGTGTTATAATTGACGAAGAGTTGACATGGAAGAACCACATCAGCTCAGTACTGAAAACTATTATTAAATGTACAAGTCTGATTGCTAAACTAAGACATTATACAAATAGAAACACTTTAAAATTGATTTACTACGCATTAGCTTATCCATACCTCACGTACGGGAATCTTGTTTGGGGAAATACATATCCCACAAGATTGCAAAAATAATGAATGTACAAAAGAAAATTGTTCGATTAATTTGTTTTAAATCTTATTCGGATCATTCTGAACCATTATTTTTGGACTTGAAAATCTTGAATGTCTACAAAATTAATGATTATCTATGTAGTATATTTATGAATCGATTCTTTTATTATCAAAATAATTTGCCGGATTTTTATTGTGATTATTTTAAACAAAATAGTGAACTATACAATTATAATACACGTAATTCCACCAAGTTACACGTGAACTTTCAAAGAACTAATTATCGTAAATGTACTGTGTTTAACAAAGGGATCTCTATATGGAATGGTCTCAATGAAAATATCAAAAATATCAAATCGTATTTGTCTTAAGAAAAAAATAAAATCCTATTACTTACTATCTGCTTAATGCAAATACTGTAAATAAAGTCAACTTTTATCTCCTTATTCTTTTAACTATTTTTATGTAAATAATCGTAATATATATTGCCTTATTTGTCGACATTTTTAGTAGTTGTTACTTGTAATTGATTTTTCAAAACTAGGGGCCTTATCTAAAAGTCCAACAGGATTTCCATCATGCGAGCCGTGAAACATACTCGGCCGCTACCAAATAGTTTTAAGTTGAAAGAAACAAAACATAACAGCTCAGGCACCACCGAGGAATTTGATTTAAAGACGTACTCGCTCGGCCGCTACCGAGGGCGAAATTGATTTGTTAAATCCCTTGCCGGCCTCCACCGTCCCGAGTCATTTAAATGGTAAACACTAACTGCGTCCCCATGAGGGTAAGTTGTATGGTAATTACATTGGTAGATAAGAATTGATTAGTGGAATATTATTTTTGGCAAGAAGACGTACGGTGCGAACTGACGACCACGTGTGTCCACGTGAGCTTATACACAAATGTGTATAGCGAGGTATTTGAATAATAAATGTTATGTTATGCCATGTCATGTTATGAGTAAGTCCATGCAAATTGAAGGGTGAATGGCCTTCCGTATTCAAAGAGGCGTAATCTAAAATGTAAAGGGTATAAACTGAATTTAAATATTGGCCTCAACCAAAACACAATTAGCAATGCAGAATTAAGGGCGAGCTTCGCTCTTCGTTTTGTTCTCCGTCGAACTAGATCAGTTGTAACTCTATATAGAGTCCGGACTTTGGAGTTGTATGATATCTTTGAGTCTGGCTTCAACCAGGCTAGATGTAACCACCATGTGTGCTGAAACCGCCACAAAAAATCACAATTTCATACCGACAAGGTTACGCATGTAACCTCCGAGCTAGGTTATTATCAGGAACGCGGAATGAAGCGAAACGTCGCGTTACAATGACTTGCTTATATCGTAGCTCAGCTAATACTTTCCCATGAGCAGGACAACTTATGTCAGTCTAAGTTATATTCAACATATTCGTTCCGAACGGAATACTTATACGGCCTTTACGAAGCCAGTACAAAAAGTACCAAATTGTTCGGCACCAACCGACGAACAACAAGATTGCGAATTACTGAATTGAGCATTGAACAAATACATTACCAAATACGTCTTCGGCTTCGCTTTGTTTCGCGGCGCACGGCTTCTGCTTGGCGTTGTTTTTTGCCATTTCGTCGTGTCCTAGACGACTTGATTTCCAACTTGATCATTCTGGATCGTCTTTAGACTTGAGCTTCAACATAGAGCCATGACTGACCTACTTACTGCATGGGCAGAGCGTTTAACAAACTGACCCTGAACTATTGAGATCACCTTGTTTTATAACCAATGTTACGCATGATTGTACTTAGAATAGCTGAAAGAAGATGCTGTCCCATCTATTTTTGATTATCAATGATGAATCAATCGGGTTTTTTGGAGAGAACTACATATACTGCGAAGGTTTTTGATGCATACTAGACAAATTAATCAGTTTCTTCATTAGTTTCCATTGAAAATTTTCGCTGTCACTAGTTCTCTGTAAAATCCTGATTGATTCATCACTTTTCACTGTCCAGGCCATATAGACTTGAGATCCCTTGACATCTGCAGCAGCAAGGAGGTCATCAAAGTCACACTAAAAACTTGTAAACAGAGCATCAAAGTTTTTGCACCAGCAGACCAGGTAAATCAAGCAAAATAGGTTTTAACTTCAAAATACTTCACAATATTATACCCAGTTTTATATCCCAACCGAGATCCTGGAGAAAAAAGTACTCAAAGAACCAAAACCTTTATTTTCTGCAACAAAATGTCTCGAAGTGCTCAACCTACCATCTGATGATTTTCAGACAACATTTAGCGATCGATTATTTCGTCTTTATTGAACTTAAATTGTACAAATATTTATCCAAAACCTTCACACCAGTTAGTTCTTCATAAAATAATGTGATAGAACGGGATCGGAAGCTGTAAGACAACGCAAAATGCAAAGAACATGGTTTTTCCCTATACCGCTCTATGATTTTTGACCGGTGAGCCGCCATTTTGAATATTCATGTTTGCGTGTGGCGTGTGTCATAATAATAATAATAATAATAATAGTCTTTATTAAAATACTCAGATACATCCGTCTGAGTTTACAATCGAAAGGTAATTGATCTAGTTATATTTACAATTGTAAGTTAAGAAGCGTAAAAAGTTTTAAAAAGTTTTTAATAGATTAAAGTCTAAACAAAGTTATACAGACAACGATTTATGAACGACCTTTTGAATCTTTCTGTTCTCACTAGGGGGAGTTCATACTCATGCCCTCTAGGCCTAAGTAACCTACTTCTTTTTTCCGGCAGCAGTTCAAGCAATGCATTGTCCTCAGTTGATGTTATTTTGTTCCACAGTTTCTTATCTCTCTTATCACGTATTTCTTTAATGTGTGTTCGTTTTGATATATAACCATTCTTATGTGCACGTTTAATGAATTTATCTATTTGGTTCAAATATTTACCGTCGTATGCACAACCCCACAGCTCAATAGCAAAAGTGAATATCGACATAATTAGGCTATCAAACAGCAGATCTAATTGTTTAATTGATAGTCCATAGTATTTGCAAACTCTCATAATGTACATTCGTCCACTTGCTTTTTTGAGCATTTCTTCAAAGTGCAAATCCCAGTTGCACGGGTTATCTTGTAGAGTAACTCCTAAAAGCTTTAGCCATGTTTTTCGCTTAATTGAAGGGATAAGCTCGGGCAAAACTACAGAGGTGTGTCTGCGAACAACCATTTCGTACGTTTTTTCCAAGTTTAAGGGCATTCTATTCTCTTCCGCCCAATCCTGTAAACAGGCAGCTTCAGATCGAGATGTGTCACCACTTTCGTTGCCGGGCACTCCTAACGTCAAATCGTCAGCAAATTTGACTAACGCATTACTAGGATCAGCAGTTTTAATATCATCAACCATTATTGAGAAAAGAACTGGGCCTAAAACAGTACCTTGAGGGACACCACGATTAATATATAAATATTCTGTAACCATTCCATCAACCATTACTCTTTGTATTTTATTTTCTAGAAAGCTGATTAACCAGTTCACCACATACGGATTAATGGGTAGCTTTTTAACTTTTTCAAACAAAAGATCATGGGGCACACTGTCAAATGCTTTGCTGAAATCGAACGACAGCACTCTAACATAATTAGCGTTTTTATCCAGCCACTCTAGCCATTGATGTTGGGATTTAATCAGAGCCATAGTCGAGTTGTGACCCTTTTTATAAGCAAATTGGTCAGGACCAATGTTATTTCTTGTGATAGGTTCGATTTCAGATTTATACACGCACTTCTCGAATAGTCTCATGATGATGTCCGTCAGAGAGATTGGTCTTAACTGGTTGCACGAATTTAATGGTGATTCTTTAGGGAGTGGTAATAAATTAGCGGATTTCCATTTCTGAGGTACTTTGCTGGTTTTTAGTGACATGTTAAAAATTTCTGTGACAATAGGAGCTAATTCAATAGCAAACGATTTCCAAAACCAATATGGCAGATTGTCCGGACCCGATGAAGAGCGTTTTTGATTGCGTAAAAGATGTTGAACTTCATGAATTGACAACGAGGGAATTCTTGTTCCTTCGGAGATTTGAAGAGGCTCGGGAGTCGTATAATTTGGGTCTGTATTCACACTTTGAAAATATTTGTTAATTTCACTAGGGTTAAGAGAAGCACTTACAGATACATCATGTTTCTTTTTTCTCGATGTAATGCTATTTACGTTAGACCACCAACTTTTCGATCCAGTTTTCTGGTTGCCAAACTCCTGTTTGACTGCACTTAATTGATTTTCCCGAATTAACTTGTTGATTTTTTCTTGCAATCGTGTATTTGCTTCAGTATTTCCGTTTTGTATGGCTCTTTTCCTTTGATTCAGAAGGTGGTTCACAAGAGGAGACATGAACGGAGGGTCGCGTGATGACGTTCTGACCTTAATTAGTGGGAAGCTCTTATCGAATTTTGGCCATATTATTTCATAAAATTTTAGGGTTATCTCATCTAGGTTATGGCTATTCATAATTATCGTGTTCCAATCAATAGATTCAAGTTCACGAAGCATATTCAATTGATGATGTTGTCTCACATCTCTGAAATAGGAATTTGTCCTTGTTGCTTTAACTATGTTTCGGGGGTATGTGATAACCATATCATGGTCGGATCTCACCAAGCTTTTTACAACTTTAACAGATTTCCAATAGTTTGGGACATTTGTAATAAAGACATCTAATATTTTTAACCCTCTCGTAGGGGTCTTAACGAGTTGGGTAAATGGAAGTTGATTAAGAACAGATCGAATGTTTAAATTGTTAATGTCACCAGCAATTATTATATTTGAATTCGGTTTAGATAACAATAGTTGTTCGCACGAGTCAATAAGGAATTCGATAAGGTCTTGCTCATTATACTCATAGTTAGGTGGGTGGTAAATAGTTGCAACAAAGAATTCAGAGTTTTGTGTAATAATTTTTGTCCATAAACATTCGAATGGATTATCCAAATCAGGTAGTAGCTGCATTCTCCAATCATTCCTGCATAAGATCGCGACACCTCCTCCTCCACAGTTTGTTCTATCCTTTCTAATGATGGAAAAATTGGGAGGACAAACGAGGGAGCTAGGTATAGTCGGTTTGAGCCATGTTTCGGTTATACAACAAACATCTATGTTATTGCACTTAATGTCTGCGCACAAAGCAGGAAAAGCATCAGGTTTTGCAATAGATCTGGCGTTCAACACTGAGCAACATGGAATTAAGCGTGGTTGACTCGGGGCAGTTTTATTCACTTGTATAGGTCTCAAAGTGCTGCAATGCCTAAGAGATTTTATATAACTGTGCTGTCTTGTGCGTGGAGTAATTCTGACGGGTATCTTATTTAGTTCGGTATCGGGTATCTTATGGGTACCATTGTTAAGGAAGGGACAAACAAACTTGGATGAATCGTAATCACCTGTCAACGCCTGGGCGGTCTTGTGTAATTTGTCATCAGGGGTGAAGGGTACTGATTTGGGTAACTCATTGGGGGCTGTATGGCTGGAGAATAGGGATTTGGATATTGTGACCATATAGGGGTTGGAATTTCCATTAAAGGATTCAATGGGCGGAGATTTCTCCAAGGTTCTCGGTAATAATAATTCTGTAAAAAATAAGTGACGTTCGTGGGGGTAGTGGGGGATGTCAACCTCGTACCCTGGGCACGAGGTTGGGGGTGTTTGATCAGGAGTTACATAGTATCACATTGTCACAGAGGGGGGGGGTGATCTCGTCACGAAATCACGAAGATCATTTTTAGATTTCACGAGTCACGAAAAACGAAATTTCATTTTCACGATTTTTAGAAACACAGAAGCGTAACAAAGTCTGAAACCATTTAACGATTTTCTAGACAACAGAAATCGATGTTAACACAAACACATTTTACTGACTTTAACATTAGAGCTTTTAAACGGACTATGGAAATCATTGCGAGGTATTACGAAACATTACGAGCGTCTTACGATGGCTCACGAAGTCTACGTAGAGGAACGAAGGTATACGACAACGACGTTTACGATGAAACGTAAAGTAAGACAACGGCGGGAAGCAAATTTAATTCTTTTTTTAACCTTAATATTAAATTTGGGCCGAGTTTTAAACGTAAACATTCACAAGTTACGGTAAAATATTCGTAAATTCAAGACCTTAGCTGGCCTTTTAGGAGGGCCCCCTATACCTCTTCACAATATGCTTTCACGTAAAAATATTTTGCCTTTTCACGAGTCACGGATTAAGAAAATCATCGATCACGTTTCACGGCTTAGTAAAATAAGCCCTTCACGCTTCACGCAAAAAGTATAGGGGCCTGATCACGTTTCACGGCTAAGTAAAACAAGCCCTTCACGCTTCACGCAAAAAGTACAGGGGGCCCTCTTTTAGCTCTTCACGATTCACGGCACGCATATTAATCAAGATTCACGGAATGGTATTTCTTCAAATCATGAATAATTGCTAATCGCGAGTTACGAAATTACCCTTGCCCCCCTCCACAAGGGGGTAGAGTCCCTGTAGGGAGGGGTAAAAAATTGGCAAAAACAGCGTCACGTATTTTGTGAATGATCCCTTCCAACTATAGACTAAATTTTGGCAATCCAATCTCAATCACGACAATCCAACACCACAGCTAGAAAGAGCGTCTTAGAATGAGTGAAACTGCAATCAAAGATTGGTTGCTAAATGTTGTAAAATGATGAAAATATGGCCCTGTGAAGTTCGCAAATTTTGTATATATTTGTTGCTGCTTGCCCTCAGGCAAGCAGCACACTATTCTTGACGTAACATGAAGTTCTTCGCATTCACTCGTGCCCAGTGTCTTTGGCCGAGTTATGTAAAGCCGTTCCAAATCTCGACTTGCGTTTTCAACAACCTCGTACCCAGGGCTAGTCGCGAATTGAAGGCGGCGACGTAGCCCTGGTAAACGCTGGTCACGTGACTCCAACATTACGTAATTGTTACTTTTCTCAACCGGGGGGTGAACAGGTGAAACTCGAAGACAAACAGTTTTTATCTCCGAAATTCTTCAATCTTTCCTGTGAATTTTGCATTTCAAGCTTTTCTCAAAGTACGGCGATCGATCAAATGGATCAAACTTTCTGTAGAAAAAACTCAGTGAGATTTGTTCCAATGAGACGTTTAAAAGACTTGGATATGTCGCTAAAGACGCCCGATCATTGCACAGGTTTATGGTTTAGTACTTTGTTCAGTTTGTTGCGAATTGCGAACCAAATGAATGCAAATTCAACTCTTGTATAATGACTATAAGTTGGTTTGTAGAGGGACAACTTATACAAAATATATGAATACATTAGCTTCAAACTAGGGACAAGTTCATGGACATCCCTAATATATGGACATTGATATTTCACCAATATGTAAATATGACTATTAAATATATAAAAGGATTGCTGTTGTATTACTTGTATATGTATATGCACAAGTGTTGTGCTGTGGTATTTACGTTTTTAACCCTTTAAGTGATTAGCCTGCGTCACAGACGCTCGTGGACGGAAATGGGGGCGTTTAGCACTTATCACATTACACACAGACTATGTCATAGTCTAAGTGGCAATGGGCCATCCATTTAATATACACCCCCCCCCCATGGACTAGAATTTCTGAGGGGGTTGAAAAAGCCATTTCTAGGGGTTGTGTGCATCCGTAACCTTTGATCTTTGCATTTTTTTCTGAGGGATAAGGCAAAAATTTCTTAATTTCTGGGGGGTGTTGGCACTTTGATATTTTTTCTTAGGGG